GACGGTGGGTTTCGAACTCTTGACCTGCCACTTGGTGGGGGTGACAACCTAACCACTACACTAGATCGCCACACCCCATTGCAAATACGTCAATTAATTTAGATGTTGACACAAATGCTAATATTCTTAATGAATTTGAGAATACTTTGCAAGGCTATAGAGATTTGTCTGAAGATATTACTGCTAGTTTTTCCAAAGACCTTCGAAATTATTTATCAGATGATGAAAATTGTCAAAATAATGATGAATTTCCTAATGAAGCTTATGCGGATTTAATGGTTTTAGTTACAAAATATAAACTTAGTAATGCAGCTAGAGATGCAATTATTTCTTTCTTTAATAAACACTCAAATCATTCTACATCTCCATTACCAAAAAATATTAAACAAGGAAAATTGTTTATGAATAATATGAAATCTAACTTGCCTTATAAGAAAACCAAAGTATTAGATCATAATAATACTGAGTATTTCTTATATCATTTACCATTGATTAGTTGTATTAAAAATATTTTAGAAATTCCTGATATATCACAAAATTTTGCACTTGAATATGAAGAATTATATAAAATTACTGAGGTATAATTTTTAATATTATTTGTTAAAATATTTTTTATTTTTATTAATTTAATTTTTTTTAAAAAATGGTAAAGAAAATATTTTTAAAGAGCAAAATAATGGAATATGGTGGAAAACTACTCAAAGTAATTTACCTATAGGATCAAAAATTTTATCAATTATTCTATATTCAGATGCAACAAACTGTGATAAATTAGGAAAAAGTCAACTTCACCCAATTTATTTATCACTTGGAAATATAACTACTTGAAGAAGAAATAAACAGGATGCAAAGCAGTTATTAGGTTATTTGCCAATAATAAAAACATCATCTAATATAGATAAACAAATAGTTAGGCAAACTTTTCATAATTGTTTAAAAATAATTTTGGAACCAATTCAATCATTATCAGAAACTGGAATAGATTTGTTACTTGATAACAAATATATTTGGTTCTTTCCAAAAATTTCAACAATTATTGCAGATTGGCCAGAAGCTGCAACATTTTGTTTAACTTATAAATCAACAAATTCTAAACATCCTTGCCACTTTTGTTTAGTTGATAGAGACAATTTAGCAAATTTAAATCTTTTTAAGCATGATTTGGAATTTAGAAATCATGAAAATATGCAAAGCTATTATAATATGGGTGAAGAAAAAACAGTATGCATTGAATCTGTACCTAATATCTTTTGGAAATTTAAGTAAGTTTAATATTATATTTGAATTAAAATATTTTAATAATTTTTCAAAAATAATAATATTGCAAATAATTTTGAAATACTTCGAAAAGTTTTAAAATAAGAAATTTGCATATATTATAAGTTAAAATTCATAAACTCAAAATATAACGAAATACTTCGAAAATCTAAATTTAAATTTAAAATATTTTAATATCTTTCGAAATATTTCGAAAATATTTGAAAATTAAATTTAAAATTTCGTATATATTTTTTAGTTAACATTTATATTTTTGAATATTTTTGAAATAATTCAAAATATTTTTAAAATTAAACGATTTATTTAAAAAATTGCGAAAAATTTCGAAAGTTTTTAATTTTTTAATTAAACTCGTTTAAGTTTAAATTTACAATATTGCGAATATTTTAAGAAGCTTTAAAATATTTAGAAGTATAATTTTGTAATATATAAAATAATATTAACTTTTTTATTCTATTTATTAATTTTAGTGATCTTAATATTTATGAAGCTACAGTAATTGATAGAATGCATCATTTAGATTTAGGATTGTTTATTTATCAAATTACTTTTACATGTGATCTTTTAAAAGATCTATATGGAGCTTCAATTCTGGATTTAATTGACGATAGATTATCTAATATTTCTAGGTATCCAGAACTTAAAATATTTAAAAACGGTATCCAATCACTTGCAAGACTTACAGCTAATGAATATCGTAATCTTATGAAAGTTATGATATTTGTTTTGGATAACCTAATTGATAATGAAACTTTAAACAAAAAATTATTAAAAATTTATGAAGATTGGAATAATATGTATATTATAAGTAGGTATGAAGAATTTGATGAAAAAGATTTGAAGGAGTTTGAGGTAATTTAATATTATTGAAAATTTCTGATATATTTCGAAATATTGCGAAAGCTTTCGAAAATGATCGAAGTTTTAAATTTTTGATACTTTTTAATAATGATTTTTTTAAACATTTAAAATATTTGAAAATTTTCAATATTTTTTAAAAGTTTACAGTAATAATTAAAATTAAAAATATAATTTTGCAATATTGTAAAATAATAATTTTAATTCTAAAAATTTTTAGTGCTAATATTATTATAATTTTATTTTATTTAGATTTTAATAATAAATTGGGCTCAACAATTTATTAATGTTTTTCAAAAATATTCTCCATCAGAATTGAAGCTTCCAAAATTACATTCATGGATATATCATACCACTGATTTAATTAGAAAATATGGTTCTTTAAATGGATTTTCTACTGAAACCTATGAAAGTCTTCATAAAGATTTTGTTAAAGCTCCATATTATTTAAGTAACAAACAAAATATAGAAATCCAATTAATGAAAATAGTAATTATTGTTTAATTTTTTAATAATATTTATTTTATTTTTATAAAATTAATTAAAATTATTTTAATTAAATAGGTTTAAAGACAGGCTATTACAACAAAATTATTATCAAACAAGTTAAAAAACAATATAAAAACTATTAGTCCTTATAAATTTACAAATTTAATTTGGACCTTTAGTTTGAATAATGCTCAGGAATTTATTGATCAAAAATTAAAAAATTATATTTCAAATTCTAAACTATATTTTGGGCTTGAAAAATTTTTAAATAATTTAAATATATATTTTAACTCAACAAATCAAATTAATTTAGATAATTATATAGTTAAAATATATAGCTCAGTAACTTTAGAAAATGGATCTATAATTAGAGCAACAGATAATTTTTATAGAAAAGCCTGGTATAGCAATGTGGCAGTTGCTATGAATTCTGAAGAACTATTTGAATATTTATCAGATCAAGGAATTTGTTATGGACAGGTATATTTTATATTTTAAATATTAAATTTTTTATATAAAATATTAACTTAAATTTTTAATATTTAATTCTAGGTATACTTATTGATAAAACTTGAATCTAATTCAGAAGCTTTAACATTTAATCTTGCATTAATTCAGTGGTATGATTTTAAATCTAAAAAAAATCCATATTATTATGGATGTCCTAGGCTTCAATTGACTGAATTATTTAATATAATTGATATTGAAGCAATTAAAAATCAAGTTCATATTATTCCACGTTTTGATAAAATTGATGATTATTTGGTAAATAAATATATGTTTTAAAACATTTTCACAAAATTACAAAGTTTTTCGAAAAAATATAAGAAAACTTAAGTAAATAAAAAATTTTATTTTGTAATAGTAAAAAATTTATTTTATTTGTTAAATTCTGATAAATTATAGTTTTAAAAAATCGAACACATATGAAAATTTTATATGATTTCGAAGTACTTCGAAATATTTTAAACTAAATAAACATATTTCAATAAATCTAGATAATAAAGATTATAGAAATAGCGAAATAATATATAAATTCTTAAAATGAAAAATAAATAATAATAAAATAATAACAGCTAAAAATTTTGTAAAATTTTGAAGAAATTCAAAATTTTATAATATTTATAAATAAATCAAAACAAGATATAAAATTTATAAGAAATTTCGAAGTATTTCGAAATATTTAAAAGTTTTAAAGTTTTCGATAAATCAAAATTATTTGAAAAGGAAAAGTATATTATTTTGTATAATTACTATATCGATGTTTTTTTTAATATAATTTAATATATTTATTTAAAAATAAAAATAATATAAAAAATAAAATAAAAAAAATATAAAAATAAAAAAAAAATATCTATATAATAATAATAATAATAAATATAAAATAAAATAAAAATATAAAATAACAGAAATAAGTTTAAAAAAATTAAGTAAAATAAAAAACAAAAAAGATATTAAGGATGCTATTCATCTACGTCTATAGTATCAAAAGGATCAGTAGGAGCAGTAGGAGCAATAGGAGCTGGAGCAGGAGCAGTAGGAGCTGGAGCAGTAGGAGCAGTAGGAGTGGTAGGAGCGGTAGTAGCAGTAGGAGCAGAAGTTGACCCTTCTATTTGAGGATCTTCTAAAGTTTCCGGAATTCTCTCGCTAGTTGGTGAAGTTTCTGTATAATAACTAGGAGATTTCGAAGTCCTTCATGAAACTGCGAGAGGTTTTGAAGTACCTCGTGATTTACCACCACGTTTACTTCTTTTAGCCGCCTAAATATATTAAAAATAAATTATATTAAAAATAAATTATATTAATGATTTATTCATATATGCATAAATTTAATTTATAAAATTTTATTATATTTACCCTTTCTGGTTTTTTTGAAGCCTTACGCTTTCTTCCTCTTTGCTGCAAAGAATTAAATTAAATTTGATGACTATTTAACAATATATAAATAATAATGTACCTCTTCGATGACTTCTTCTTCCTCTTCTTCTTCGGAACTACTAGTAATTTCATTTGGCATGGGAGGTAAAAATTTCTCACCGCTTTCAAGTTTACTCTTATATCATTTTAATAATATTAAATTATTTCGAATTAAATTATATTAATTAATTATGAATTATATTATTTAAAAGTTTTAAAAATAATTGAATACTTACGAGATTTTTTATAATTTTTTTTGAATTACGTCTTCTTTTATGGTTAATTTCTCATAGTGAGAACTAAGCATAATTTGACAAACTGCAAAAGCATATGCTAGTTGCAAGTTTGAAACCATCCCGGTTGGCCAAACCTTGGTTATTATTCGCGACATATATGTTTCGTCTGGATTATTCATGTTTATAGGGGAAAATAATTTTTGATAGGCAGCTTTTGTTTTTTCAGATTGTTTCCAGCTTGTAACTTCCTCAGGTAATGCATTATTATTTATAGAGTCTAGTTGGCTTTTACCAAAGACCGCAAACATCGAATCTTTAATTCGTGTTGTTAAAGTACCTCGCAGTGATCGATGTTGCTTTAAAAGCTAAAAATGTATAAATTAATAAATTATTTAAAAATTTTATAAAATTTCGAAGTATTTCGAAATTTTTGAAATATTTTTTAAAAAAAAAAATTACCTTTGAACTTAATTGCTCCTTATAATAAACATTCCAACTTTTCTCCGACAAACTATCATAAAATTCACGATTATGTGAAAACAAATAATCTTTAGCAGCTTCCTTGAACTCATCTTCCATAGGATACATGGATGTTTCGATTAATTCTTTACAGATGCCTTTAACTGTTTGCTATTATTATTATAAAGAAAAATAAAAAAAAATAAAAAATTAAAATAAAAAATAAAAAATTAAAATAAAAAATTAAAAAATAAAAAATAAAATAATAAAACATACATTTATAAAGGCTTTTTCCTGTTTATCCTCGAAGCACTCCGAAACTTTGTCATCTAATTCGACGAATTGTTTTTCAAGATGACTTATTTTGGCTAAAATTTCTTCGTTTTGTTTCATTAGATCTCTTTGATTTTCATAAATCATTCTTAATGTAATATTTTCTTAAAATAAATTGTAAATTGAAAATATATTATAAATATACTTAGTAATATTAAACAAATTTAAAAATTATTTAAGAAAATTTAATAAAATTAAAATACCTGCGGAGTATGTCGAAGGATCTTCACGCTCTCGGGATGGTAATCTTTCAGAAGCTGGAGTACGTTGAGATGGTAATCTTTAGGTTACAGGAGTGCGACGTTCTTCTGAACTTTCTTCTCTACCCTTACCCTTTCTAATTTGAGTTGAAGTACTAGCAATTAACCCAGCAATACGTTTATTAATTTTGGCTCTTTTATTAGCAAGGAGAGTCATTCTGAAATTAGTTTTAGGAATAGGTATAAGCGGTTTATAATGAGTTTAGAGAAAAAGAAAAGATTTATAGTGCTAAGAGAATAGGAAAGGGTTATACGAGATTAATGTGAATGAAAAGTTTTAAAAAGTGTTAAAAGAGAGGAAAAAAATATAATTTATAACGAATTAGAAATTGTTTATAGAAAATTTTATTTATTCGAAGAATTTTGATAATTTTGAAAACGATCGATTACTAAAGAATTATCGCTTATTTTTATAGATTTTCGAAAACATTCAAAATACTTAATTTTTCTAATGTAATCAAATTTATTAAAATTTTATTAAAATTTAATTTTTACATATTTAACTATTGTATTCATCCCTTTGAAAATATTCGAATACATTAAATCGATTTAATTTTGTTTAAATTATTCGTAATTAATAAAATTATTTAGATTACATATTTATATTATATGTCAATATATTTATGAAAATTAATAATATTAATAATTATAAAAAATGATTTTTCTCGGTATATATATTAATTATCACGAAATATGTAGATATAATTAGAATGTTAAAAAATATATTTCACTTTGCAGATTTATATGTAAGGTTAATCAATGTCGAAAACAAATATTTAGTCTTTATTTAGAAATTTTTAATTTAAATAATCTTTTTGGAAAGAATTTGCAAACTTTAATTTTATTGTCTAAATAAGAATGAATTTAAAGTAATCATTTAATTTCGCTATAGTACCCTGTATTTTTAAAAGTTCTTACATTATCAATATATTCGAAATAATGTGTTAAATATTCTGCAAGTTACTATTGTTTCAAAAATTAAATTGTAAGATAAACTATATTATCGAAATATCCAAAAATAGAAAGAATAATTGAATTTGCATAATGATAAAACTTACCTGCCATTCAAATTCGTTTTAATAATAATTAAAAGAAAAATAATCAATCTAAAGTATTCTAATGTAATGTTCTAATATTAGCAGTGAATAGATATTATTATTTAATGTTAATATTTAATAAAGTTTGTAAAAAATCTTTGACGATTGAATTATTAAATATTTTAAAGTATTTCGAAAACTTTCGAAATTATAGAAATTAAAATAAATCACAAAAACTTAAAATTAAAAATTGCATAAACTTTCGAAATATGTCAAAAAAAGTTTGGGTTAAACAAGTAAGAAAAGGGCTCATTTAAACAAATTATGTTTATTGTAACCAGAATTAGAGATATTTCAAATGTAGTTGGAGGCTTTCAAATTAACCCGGAACTGCTCATTTGAACCCGGTATGAGATCAAATGAACCATATGAACCCAGAATTGAATCCAAGTTAATTTCAAATGATCTATGTAACGGCTAACTAATATTAAAATTTTCGAAATACTTCGAAATATTTTATAAGAAATTAAAAATTTCAAAAACCCAGAAAAGCTCATAGAACTGATCAAACAAATAGGAACAGGCTCATATGAATCCAGGTTTGTATTCAAATGAACCCAACTCGAGTTCAAAAGCACCCGGAATAAGTTCATTTAATGCGGATTCAGTTCAAATATACCCGAAATAAATTTATTTGAACTCTGAACAGGCTCATTTGAACCCGGTTGGTCTAAATGGGTTGGATTCAAATAAACCTGAAATGGGCTCATTTAAACCTGGTTAGATTCAAATGAACCTGAAATGGGCTCATTTAAACCTGGGTTGGATTCAGATGAATCTGAGATGGGCTCATTTGAACCTGGCTTAGGCTTAAGAGAACTCAGAATGGGCTTATTTGAGCCCGGGTTAGGTTCAAGAACCCGAACAGACTCATTTGAACACTGGTTGGGTTCAAATTTAACTCATTTGAACTCGGGTTGGGTTAAAACGAACCTAAAAATAGCTAGAAATTTTATTGAAATTTTTGAAATACTTCGAAATACTTCGAAATAATATAAAAATACAAAAGAGCCTATATTCGTTCAATTGAACACAAATTAAATCCAAATATATCCAAAATAGGTTCATTTGAACCCAGGTTAGGGGACTCATTTGGGCTCATTTGAACCTGAAACAGGCACATTAGATCCTGGTTGGGTTCAAATGAACCTGGAATAGGCTCATTTCAACCTGGGTTAGGTTCAAATGAACCCGTAATAAGCCCATTTTACCCGGGTAGAGTTCAAATGAACCCGAAATGGGCTTATTAGAACTTGAGTTAGGTTCAAATAAAGCTGAAATAGGATCATTTGAGCCCTGGTTAGGTTCAAATAAACCCGAAATAGATTATTAACATAAATTTGAAATAATTAACATAATTTTAGAACCTTTCGAAATACTTCGTTTTATTTTACAGTACTTAGAATTTTTTTCGAAATTTTTTACCTGAATTTTTTCAAAAATTTTTTCGCATTATTTCGAAATCTTCTGCGAAGTTTTTCGAAATATTGGGTTTTCGCAAATTTTCGAAAAATTTTGCGATGTTTTTTTGCCATTTTTGCGTTTCGAAAATTTTTTCGCAAAATTTTGCCTATTTAAATTTGCTGATGATATAAAGAATCAGCAGACATCATCATACAAATTCTACTTCTGATATTAGCTGAAATCTACGAACAAATCTGGAAACCATACTGTGACAGATTTGCAAAATGGAAAAAACAACACAATATAGCACTTCATACCAAGGTAATGACAACACAAGCCCATACCCACACCAAGCGCTAGCAGAAAAATACACTTATAGCTGCTCTTGTGGTATAGCAGACCAACTACATGAGAACAATAGCACCTGCTCCTCCAAAGGGCAGGCACAGCTGAAATTTGAGCAATGGTCCACAGCATAGATTCAATATAGCATACATACAAACCGCATACTTACTATTAAAATCTAGGTGAGTCTTGACCACTCTAGTAGGTTTAGGTTGCAGATAACTAATTTAGCCGCCTAGCTGAGTTTTTAGTCTGAGCTCCTATTCTTGCATGTAATTTATATTTTTTGTTATTATACAAATAAAGTCGTTC